AAAAACGACACACACCTAATAAACAGGGCAATAAGAGCTCCCCTAAACTTGGCAAGCAGACTGAACAACCCCAAACTGACAACCGAGTCACACACCGCAGCACAGAAACCCAACACAGCAGTAATACTAGACCCCAAACTCAAAAATTGCGGCTCTCAAGCACTTAAGTCAAATTTTAGTTCGGTTTTAAATTTGACCAAACATGAGTCAAGTTTGAAGTAAGAAACTGAATCAAAGTTTGACTCAAGTTCATGTTCGTTTGAGCATGAGTCGAGCTCGAGCACCTCGAACTCAAACTTGATCTTGTATGTTATAAGTTTGAGCTCGATGAGTTATTCCGAAATAAGTACTCCCTCTTTTTAATAAGTGACGTTTTGAGAAGTTGCACAGTAATTAAGAATCTTTTTTGTGTCAATAATAACCCTCATTAATGAGTAGAGATGGATGTTTTGAGAAAAGAGAAGAGGGAATATGAAAAGATGGAGTGTATTTATTAACTAAATGAGGGTAATAATGGAAAAATATGTATAAAAGATCCAAAATGTCATTTATTTGGTTAATTGTTGATAAAACCAAAATGACATTTATAAAAAAAGAAGGTAGTATAATTTATCTAGATACTCATAGTTCCAGTTGAATTAAAGCCAAACTCAAGTAAAATTCGTGTTTGAATAGAATTTTCTTTATTTAAAATCAAGCCGAATTCGAGCGAAATTCGAGATGATGAAAATTTTAACAAATCTTAAACAATTGTATATTTGAGTCAAGTCGAGGGTCGAGCCTTATAAAATTCGAACTCAAGCAACATTAAACAAATCAAACCTAGCTGGATAAATACAATGCTCGAGTGTGTCTTTGGTGGAATTATATATATACACAGACACACACACACACACACACACACACACACACACACACACACACACACATATATATATATATATATTCTCTTATTCACATATGAACATCTCCAATGGTCAAATATTGTTATATAACAAATATTGACAAATATCAATAAATTAATTAATTGTGAACCATGTAGGGAACATGTTAAGTTTACAATTATGAAATTAAAAAATTCTGCCCAATACACAATCTAGTCAAACTATAATATTACCTACTTAGCAAATGTAAAAATTCGAAGAAGAAGAAATTTAAATTTAATAATTAGATAGCTTGAAACGGGTAAAAATATTTTTCTCTTTTCTTCAATGTCGAGCTAGAGTGTAGATGAACCACATTCTTCTCTATATTATAGATTTTAATTATGTTTATATCATCACTACATTTGTGATCATATTCTACATTGGATGCAGGGGTGAAACCAATAAATTAGTTGAGAGAGAGCAAAAGACATGATATAATGGGTTCATAACCGAACCCTAATGGGTTTAGAACCGATATCAAATCGATAACATTTCGGTAACCGATTTTCGGATACCGTTACACATAAGTCGGTTCGATTCGGTTTGTTTTCTCATCGGTTCGGTTCAATTTTCGATTTTCGGTCAAAAAATACCAGGAGTTGAAGTCTTTATATGGGCCAATTAAAATTATAGAATGATAAAAATTAATAAACAAAATTAATAGTAAAAAACAAAAAAGAAGTGTTGAATTGTTAATTGACAATTGTGGACAAGTTGGCTGGTGAGGAACGTTTAAAAACAAAAAAATCTGGGGGAGCAAAAATAAATCTAAAGGGGGACAAATTAAAATTTTTAATAATAATAGTAAAAAAGATAAATTTGGGATTGCCCCCCCTATCACTAATGTAAATTCGCCCTTGATTGGATGATGAAAAAATTATCATTATGATGTTACTAGATATGTTGATGTAGAATGTTATCTACAACGACAATATTTAAACATTGGTCATACTTCAAAGGTAATAGTGTTTCTTGTTGTGCAAATTGGGTAATAGTGTCTCATGGTTGTGGTTAGACTTGGAGAAATGTATTTAACATGGAAACAAAACTTGCAGCTATCCGAATTCTAAAGCAATTGGATATAAAAAATTTTTGGTATTGTCTCGTCGTATAGTTTCTTTTCGATGGAACTATGATTGAATGTTAATTTAAAATTTAAAAATCATTATTCATGTAATTCAATTTTTTTCCTCTATATTATCAATGTAATTAAAAATTATCATCCAGTCATTATTATAGATTTTCCAACAAAATTCACTATTTATTAATATACGTATATTTAACTATTAATTCTTTAGAATTATTATTTTACTACTTATTCACATTAATTTTAATGATTACATTTTATCTCATATCCATTAACAAACTCAAAACTAATACATTCTTCCATTATTTTTTCCGGTTTTAATTCATTTTATTTTTATCTTAACAATCAAAATTAATTCATTCTATATCCAATCACTAATAAAAGTCATATGGGCCGATTAACCTAATAGACAAAATTCAGGCCCACTTCTTGAAAGGTTTCATTGTTCGTACTTTTCAGCGAAAAAATAACCAGAAAATGATAACGGAACTATAGAAGCGGAGATGAAGAGAGGAGGAAGAATGGTGAATAACAAGAAGAATAAGAAGACAAGGATAAACACTGAGCTCGAGGCAACATTTTTTCCTTTTCTATTGGCCGCCATTTGTTCAAAATCTCAAAAAAGAGAAGACCAAATTATGAAGTGCTTGAACAGAGTATTTCTGTCCCTTCCCCAAATCGATTTGTCTCCAATCCTCGCAATGCTACCTTCACTCCTTAAATTCAAGTAATAACAGTCCAATATTTTCTGATTTTTTTTTTTTTATCTGCGTAACCTGTGTCTGGTTCTGTGTATTTATTTGCTTCCTTTCCTTTCCTAGAGAAAAGATAGATAATGGTGGGATTCAGAACTGTATGTAGTAAATTGATTTACTTGAAGCTTTGGTGTTAGTAAAATTGATGCAAGATTGAAAAGTTATATGTTGTTCATTTGCAGATTATGTGGGTTTCAGAGTTTTGTTATAGTTGGCATAATGATATCAGTACATTAGTAGTTCTTTTTTTGCTAATTTATTTTGTAAACAGGAATTGCCGTGCAGTAGTGTGTAAAGCTGCGGAGATTGCTGGTGCTGCCTCACTATCATCATTGGAAATGAACGAAAAGGTTTGTTTGGATGATGAGATAGTGACGGGCTTAATCTCACTGTTAGGGAGTTCGGAAGAGGAAATCGCGATGGCCTCTTGCAATGCAGTGTTGGATTTATCCACTACATTGATTGGGCGCCAGCGGCTGCTTGAATTTGGTGCTGTCGATAATCTTCTGTGAGCATCTTGTATATTTATTTATTTTTCATGAGGAAAGAAACTTAATTAGATGGGAAAATTGTGTCATTCTGAAATGAACTGGTTATCGACGTTAACTTTTGGCTAGTATTATACTTGATATTTGTACTGTCTACCGTAGTTTGATGCATGCATTTGTTGAGGCCTGCTCAATTGATGTACGATGGTATGTTAACCAGTAATATTTGCTTGGATTTTCTGGCTTGGATGTAATGTGGCCCAGGGGTGTAAAATTGTCATCCCGAAAATTAACTTGTGGATTTTACTGTGAAGTAGTATTACGTAAGACTTAAAATAATATAGATCCCTTTCTATCTGTTAATTGTTTTTGGATGAATTCATTGTTCACCCTCGATTAACATCTACCAGTCTTCGCTTCATGCAGGCATGCAAATTTCAGAAATTTTTTCCCATTGGTAATATGAAATTGGTGGAGAAAGATGAGTATCCATTATTGCTTCTTCAGGGTGCCATTACTCTTATAAATTCATGCACGATTGAGCAGCTGGAGCATTTACCAATTGAGCTTACTGAAAATTTTTCAAAGCTTCTGAAAAGAATTTGGAGACAAGAACGTGAGGAGAGAATATTTGGCCCTGCTTCTATGCAGGGAGATGAGTTCTGCTTGAAAAACATCAAGACGAGTAATTTGGTAGAAAGCATATTTAGGCTATCCATTAACTGTAACCTTCACCCAGAAACCATAGACTTTAAACCTCCTAAGAAAAGCGATTTCTATTTTGGGAAAATCGGCATTGAACCATTTTTATCAGATATTTGGGAGACTTCTCCTATGCTTATAAGGAACTCGTCAAATTCTTCATTAAACCCTGATAGTATTTTCGGCGCTTTCATCCAGTTTCTCGGTTTAAAAGACACAATTCCTACCTTCCTTCCTTCCTTTCTAAAACGCATTATTTCATGCCCAGCAATCGCATCCGATGAATTAGATATTCTGCAAGTCATCAAGGACATAAACAACAATCTCGGTCATCCTATAAATTACCACCAAGATATTCGTGTCGTGAAAACTGAGCATGGTGGAAAAGAGTTGCACTATTTTCCCAATCCCCATGTTCTAACTATTGATGATATCGAAAAATGCGAAGAAGCATTTAAGAAAGGCTATTCAATCGCTGTACGTGGCATCGAATTTCGTGACCCATCTATAGCTGCTATTGCTGATGAGCTGGCATTTCTCTTTGGCCAGCCCTCGGCAGGTGTTAATATGTACCTTACACCATTTAATTCGCAAGGCTTGGCTAGACACAGTGACGACCACTGTGTGATAGTATGCCAAATTGTTGGCGCCAAAAGATGGAGAGTGTTTTCCCAGTCAGATTTTAAGTTGCCTCGCTTGTATGAGTCATGTTGTAGTTCACTTGATGATTTGGAGGATGAAAGTTGTGAGTTTGATGAGTGCAGACAGTTTGTGGTGAAAAGAGGGGATGTTTTGTATATTCCGAGAGGCTTTCCGCATGAGGCAACTACTGATGTGGATGAATTTGATAATGTGAGCAACGGTGCTTCTTTGCATTTGACGCTGGCGATTGAAGTCGAGCCTCCATTTGAGTGAGTAGCTTTGATTTGATTTATCATTAGGCATATTATTGTATTTTGATAATTTTGTGAACTTGTTTATAGAACCATTTTAACGTCATTGTTGTCTTGCTATTTTCCATAAGGTATATAGTCAAAATGGCATGAGCGGATGGGCTTCTAGATGCACCTGCCGATTGGTTCAGTAAAATCAGCTTTCTGCTTAGTTAGCGACTTAGGCCATTTGGGTATATATAATGTGAACCTTTGTTCTGGGCTTATAGTTAGGATTTCTTGGTGCTGCAAATCTATGGGATTGTACGATAGAAAATGTTATTTTGGATTAGATTAGATATGTTACGGTAGAGGTAACTACAAAACTGCCCTGAAGTATAACCTAACATTTTTTTTTTTTCACGCTGTTCTCTTGAAATTACTAAATGTAATTGTTTGACAAATTTACCTTTCGATAGGTGCAACATGTGAAATGGGAATATTCGCCAAGAGAGTAGTCATAATTTGGATTTTGGAACTGCCTGATATCTTCATAATTCTCCTAATTCCTTTGTAGTAGTACTAGTACATGTAATTATCTGAACAATAATTTATTCAAGCATGTTTTGTTTGTAAATGAGGTTTAACTCATTTTTGACTGATTAGTATCTTTATTAGTTATACGCACCTTTCACCTCCTTGAGCAGATGTCTTTAGCAAAAATGTTGTAAACTTGCACAAAACGACACAGACCAAAGCATTTTGATTGTGACGTTCTCTCTCTTACAGGTGGGAAGGTTTTATGCACACGGCCATATATTCTTGGGATAAAAAATTCAAAGCATCACTGCAAGCATGTAGTCTTCATGTGATATCCATAATGCTTCTCCATATTGCAATAAAGTTAATCGGCCAACACGACCTTCGGTATCGTAAGGCTTGTTTGGCATTGTCTTCACACACTAACGACTGGCTTTGCGAGAACCAGAGAACAAATTTCGGGCACTTGATTAGTATTATAGACAGCAAGGTGAAGTTTCTAGAAGCTGTTGAACATTTTAAAGCGGCTCTAGAAATGAATGAAGATCCTCTGGAACACGTGAGATGGATGAAGTTTCTAGAAGTGCCGAACTTGTACATTTTGTCAACAGATTCCCAGGAGCTGTTTGGTGTTTTGAGTCGGGATAAGGATTTATTGGAAGCTTCTTTTTCGAAGGTTAAGTCTCGATTTTGTCGTGAAGTGGAGTTTGAGGATGTGAAACAGTGTTATCAGGTGCTGCTCGGCAAGTACAGAAAGGTAAGAAAGCAATATACGAATGGCATGCTTGCTCTCCATTCTGCTATTGGCGATGATGAATGTGAGTTTCATGCTTGAGGTGAGGACAAATTATTGTGGCACAAATTTGTAGTGTATGTTTGTGTGTTTGACTATTTGTCAATTAAATGGTACTGAATTATATGGAGCTGGCAGGTCCATTGATTTATTGACACAAGTCCCAAATATATTTATTTAAATGATGTGTCAAATACAAAATTTATGAACGTTTATCGATACTAAGTTGTGTTATTTGAGGACTCCATAGCAAAATTGGGGAATGGTAATGAAAATATCTATATATATAATTGTAGGTTAAAACTTCAATTTTTTCCAGCTCATTTTTTAAGCCAATTTTAGAAAGAAAGAAACTGTATATATGGCATTAATCATTTAATTATGTTTTTTTATTTTTAGTTACATAATAACTACTACTATTAAATAATCATGAAGTATCTATATATATCTATATAGGGTCACGCTCACATTAGAATGATGTTCAGTGAAAGAAATAAGAATGAATTGAATGAATCGTAGTCATTAAATCATTCGATCTAATGGTAAAAAAAAAAGTCAAAATTCTACCTTCATTAAGGGTATTGTAGTAATTTTGCACATCACACATAAAGAGGTGGGCTCCCTCACACAATAATACACTGCCAATAATTCCATCTACCCACCCACCCTGTTTTCTCTCTCCATTTCACACACGCACACACACACATAAATCGAAAAACACACACACACACACACATAGTCACGGTCAGCAACCGCCCGTCCGTCATCTCCCTCTCTCTCTCTCACACACACACACACATACGGAAATCGACAGACACGCAAGGTCACTGCTCACCGCCGCCCATTCGCCGCCGCCGCCGCCCTTCACCGTCGACACACACACCAATTGACGAATTAATGGTTTATAGCTCGCTGATTTCATATGAGATTTCGAATTTTTTGTTGATTTATTGTAAATAGTTGGGATGGGTACAGACAGAGACAGGGATATTTCTCGGTCTCCGTCGTACTGGAGGAGGATCTACGCACAGCCCTCCACCGCCCGTTCGCCGTCGCCATCACCCCTGCCATCGCTGACACACACACGGCTCGCCACACACATACACAGACGCCATCGTTGGCCTCCGCCGCCGCCGTCATACTATGTCTGAACTTCCTCTACAGCGCACCAATGGCCGTCAGAGGCCGATGCCGGACGAATTGAGTCGGAGATGGCAGTGAGCGACAGGAATTTACCGACTAGGATTAGTATTTTGGGTTTTTTGAACTTTTTTTTTGTGAATTAGATAATTTTGAGGGGTTTTTTTTGCAATTCTATTAATTTTGATTATTTTCAATTTAGTTCATAGGCAAATCTGTAATTTTCTATAATATATATAAATTATTATATTTTATATAATTTTTTATACACATTTAAATGTTATTTTTTAACCAAAAAATAATATATAAATAAATAAAATAATAAAATACTAAGTGTATTTTTATAATAATAAAAAATAAATATAATGAAATACTAAGTTATTTTTATAATAATACATGCAATTTATCTCGGATCATATAAGACACTTTACATATCGTCACATTGAAATTTACAAAAATACAAATTGTACTTCGTAAAACAGCATATTGCACTCTATACAATCCACAAATTAATGTCAATAATTTCCACCAAAATACCACACATCATAAATCTAAATATTGTATCTACGTACATAATAATATAACATCCATCATATCATCCGTACACAAAAAATGCAAGCATGTTAATGTACTCAAATTACAGTAGTGCACTTTATATATCAACATACTGCACTTTATAACACACAACGTTGCACATTATAAAACAATTCGCTGCACTTTGTCACGACACTCCACAATAGAGATTGAAACCCACCAAACTCGATTTTTTCAACCACAAATAATATGAAAATAATAAATAAAATTATTAACATATTAAATATAAATTTAGTATAAATAACAAATTATTTCGATTGCTTAGAATATTTCGGTTAGCCGAACCGAATAAATCGACTGATTAAGTAGTGCACTTTGTATAGCAACACATTGCACTTTATAACACACCGTTGTACTTTATAAAACAACTCGCTGCACTTTGTCACGACACTCTACAATAGAGATCGAAACCGGTCAAACTCGAATTTTTTCAACCACAAATAATATAAAAATAATAAATAAAATTTTTAACATATTAAATATAAATTTAGTATAAATAAAAAATTATTTCGATTGTTTAGGATATTTCGGTTAGCCGTACCGTATAAATCAACTGATTACAGTAGTGCACTTTGTATATCAACACATTGCAGTTTATAACACACACCGTTGCACTTTATAAAATAACTCGCTGCACTTTGTCACGACACTCTACAGTAGAGATCGAAACCGGCCAAACTTGAATTTTTTTCAACCACAAATAATATAAAAATAATAAATAAATTATTAACATATTAAATACAAATTTAGTATAAATAAAAATTTATTTTGATTGTTTAGAATATTTCAGTTAGCTGTACCGAATAAATCGACTGATTATATCATTTTCAACTCGATATGTGAGTAAAGGTTCAGTTGGTTCAATCTGCACAATAAAGATCATCACTGTGCACCAAATTGTTGGACGGATTGCACGTTAATAACTGTTGAATTGCACAACATATTTCGTTTACACAATATATTATTTTTTTTAATCAATACATAATATAGAATATTAAATATTAAACATTGATTTATATTAATTAATATAATTTATTTCAATTATTTTGGTTATTTCAGTTAACCGAAAAATTAAACGTAAATATTTATAATAAAACATGATATATTGTGCATTAATTAAACTTTTGTTATATTACAGATTTGCCTCAAGTATAAAATTGAAATAAATGAAACTTTAAAAAATTACAATCAACCCCCTACAACATATCAAATTCCCAAAATGTAACCCCACAATTCCTAACACAAATCTCAATCGTCAAACTCGTTCACATCAGCCGGAGCTCACTCCCGACGTTCGTCGTCGTTGATATGGTCGCCCATCCGCCGTGTTTATCGCCCAAAATCTATCGCCGTCCACAGTAAGCGGCTCTGCACAGGAAAAAAAAAGTTGCAGATCGACCATTTTTCTTCACGAATTGTCACCGTCTTTGTGCAGGGACGGGACGATGGCCGTGGCAACGCGATAAGATGGTGAGGCAGCGATAAACGGCCGCCGGGCGAGGACGACCACACAGGCGCCGGGAGAGGTCGAACACACATTGCCGGAATCCGGGAGTTATCCAGATTGACGGTGGTGGGCTGGTTTCAGCGGCGATGTGACCGGCGAGGCTTGCGGCGGCGACGCGACTGAGGTCCGACAGCGACGTGGCTGATGTTCAGCGGAGGCTCCGTCAAGCTTGTGTGTGTTTGTGCGTGTTTCATATGTATGCGTCGTGTGGTGTTTTTGTGTGTAGGTGTGTGTTTGTGTGTGAGAGGGGGTGGGTTGAGTAATGGTGTTAGTGGTGGGGCTCACTTGTATTTTGTAATGTCTGATTTACCCCCATTTAGTGGTCTAATTTTTAATATTGACCATGATGTATACAATTATTTGCGAAAATGCCACTCATGTTTGACAGTGATTTATTAAGTTTTGACTTGATCATGTTCATTGGTTCGATTGATCCAATGATCCAGGGCATTCTTATTTTTTTCACTATCTCCCTTTCTCATATGATCTCTTCTCTCTCTCTCTCTCTCTCTCTATATATATATATATATATATATAATTCTCTCTTATTTTTGTTTGAATATTTATAGTGTAAAACCGTAAAAGTCTACCCAAAACTATCGAACCGAACTGTTCGCGAATAAAACTCGTTCTCATTCGTGTTCGATAACAACTCATTCGTTTAATTATCGAGCCGAATTCGAACATGAAATTATGCTCGTTTAGTTATCGAACGAACACGAACAAGTTAACGAACTAATTGAGCGTTCGCGAGCAAAAAAGTATTTTACAATTTTATATATTATATAGTATATACATATATAATATAGTATATATAAATATATATTAAATATTAAATAAAAAAATTTGTATGGTATTAAAATTTAAAAAAATCAACAAACACGAACACGAAATTGTCGAACAATTCGAACACGAACTTGTTGAACATTTCGAACAGTTCGCGAACGAGTTCGACTATATAAACGAAGGAACACGAACGTACCGAACCAATAAACGAACAAACACGAATAAAATTTTTTGTTCGATTACTAAACGAATAACATGTTCAAAAATTACTTGAACTTGAGCTTGAAAATATTAAACTCGGTTCGATTCGTCAGCCCTACCCAAAACCTTCATAGAGCCCAAGTAGAACTTTCTTCCTCAAGGTTTCGTTCATGGTATAAATTTTGCTGTTTGTAACTTTTCTTTTGTTTTTCTCAACACTGAATTAATTAATTTTAATATATTGTTACCCACCACTTTCATTTCTTCCCCAAGCAATATCCCCTTTCCTAACAAACCCTTCGCCTTCCATATCCAAAATCCCTAATAAAAAAGTACAGAAATTGGGATACAAAAACCCATTAAAACCTTGCGGAGATTCAGAAACAATGGCGTACGTGGATCACGCTTTCTCGATATCGGACGAGGACATAATGATGGAGACCTCGTACGCCGTCAGCAATAAGCCGCCAATCAAAGAGATCTCGCTCGCCGTCGCCCTCTTCGTTTTTGGTGCACTCGGGATCGTCCTCGGTGCCTACATGGCCGTCAATGAAATCGGCGGTGATCGGGCCCACGGTATCTGTTAATATTTGTTTTGCAGAATTTCCGGGTTCTGGAATTTTCGAGCTTGATTATGAGTTTTTGCTATTTATAGAGTGAAATTTGGGATCTTAATGAGCTGAGAAGCTCTTAGCTTTAGTGGTAACTCCATATTTCTGCAGATAATATTAGGTTGCATTGTTATACTGCACTGGGATTGACTCTGTTTCTTTTTAAATTCGTAAGTAAATGAATTTGGAATGGACTCTGTTTCTTTTTTAACCTTTTTAAGCTTCATTTACTTATAATGATAGATATTGAGTCTAAACGGCAGTTGAAATAAGAAACTAGCATAAGTAAATTTGTGAGAATTCTTTTAAATTGCACCTGTAAAATTCTGAAATTATCAAAGTAGAAGAGCAGGGTGGGAGTTTATTGCAGAGTTGAACTTAGGCATTACTTGATATGGAGAAAATTAGGCTTAAATACTGTCTTAGTCTGGTAGTTTGATTAATTTCAGCTCTTATGCTGTCCCAGTTACAATTTGCTGCAGTAGATTTCATGGCTTCTTTGATTTTGGCAGCTTATTGTAAAAGTAACTTTAAGACGATACTAGATTGTGATTATTTATTTAAATAAGAAAAATTTGAAAGGAAAAAAGAATATGAAGTTTGAAATAAAGGTGGAGCTTAGTTCTACGTGTTTGGATGGAGATGGAGAATTTCATGACAAATTTGTGGATTTTTATTAGATATGTCAATGATTATTCAATTTGAAGTAGTCTGCTTTCTTGTGTGAGCTGCTGTCTTCCTCTCTTAGAGGTAAGGCAAAATTAACAGAATAGAAAAGAAAAAAAAAAATCTCTCTTTCCTTGTAGTATAATTCGCGTACAATCATAATATGAATCATTGAAGTGGCATAAAATTATTATAACAGTATGGTCGAAATTTTACCAAATCGAATAGCATTATCAATCAGTGCATGCTATACGCTCTTCAATGTTAGAGCTTCATTATATACTCTCCTTCTCAGTGGAAAATGTTTCCTGTTTTTTGATCTCCATACTCTCCTCCATATGTAGTTGAGCATTTTCTTTTTCTTTTTTTTTTCTGCTTATTTCAGTTCATTACATTCCGGGCTTTCCATCTCTTCTTTGTCTGTTAAGGAAAATTTTATTGCTATTGATTTTCCGTGAACTTTATGTATTATAATGTTCCAGAGATTATGATTTAGTATCGACTCTGCTCTTCCATGGAACCTGCACAACTTTCTTTTATCTTAATTAATTTTATGATGCAGGGTTATTTTTCGCAATACTCGGCGGAATTCTATTTATTCCTGGATCCTACTACACGCGGATTGCCTACTATGCTTACAAGGGTTATAAAGGTTTCTCCTTTTCGAACATACCACAAGTCTAGTGATACTGTACCCTCTCCATAGTAATGTAAATAATATGATATGCTTGTTGTTATAACTTGCACTATCCATCTTTTGCTTCTATTATTTATGTTATGTCAAGTAACGGATATGCTTGTAAATAAACAACACGTGAGAAAGACAACCATGTCACATGTGAGTATACTTTGTTCCTATATATACAGGTTAAATTAAGTTTAGTCTCCACGAGTGGTACGTTTTAGTTTAGTGCAACCTTGGTCGAATTTCATTTTAACCTGAATGAAATGTTCTCTAAGGTCTGCTTGTGATTTTGTTCCATAAAAAAGGAAGTAAAGATGGGATTGATGGTGCCAAATAGAAGTAATCCGGCATTGCCAGGACAATTTCATTCATGACTTGAATTATACTTATATGTTAAATTGCAGGCAGTAAATTAGTACGACCAAAAAATTTGTGCAATACTATGATCTTCCTTCCTATAGGCTTTAAAAACTTTTGCGAAAATATATGAAAAGGAGCATGAGATTAAAAAGTCTTGCCTGCTCGAGAACATGTCGTGCATTGCCTGCTCTGAGGAACTTGGTACTAAAACTAGTCGTGCTGATTCTTCTCAGTCCATTGATTATATATATCATTGTTAAGAACCGTTGTTGAGCTTGCTTATTCAACTAGTCCCATAGATGCTCACAAGGTCACAAGCTATATCGCTTTCCTATTCCTGTTAATCCAAGTAATTCTACTTCTATGACTGAATGAATAGTACTCCCAAGGGAACT